TTTTTTTTTTTTTTTTTTTTTTTTTTTGGCCCGGCCGGGCAAGTGGACCCGGGCCACTCTGGTAGCCTAGCTAACAAATCTATTATTACAAAAGGCGAGGAAACGGGCCAAGCGTCCCTTACAAAAAGTAGGTGGTCCTGTTTCTGGGCGCGACATCGCCGGTCAAGCCCCAAAAACCGTACCACTGGTCACCTCAAACCCTAATACCAGCAGAGCAATCAAACCAACCAACTACCAAGAGAAACCAAACCTCTATCTAAACAAAAAACAAAAAAGTTAAAAAAACAAAAAAAAAAAGAGGAAAAGGACAAAGCAACTAGCAGTATTTCTAAGATGAAAACAAAACAACCCTAACCATTTAACCAGAACAACATACTATGTACCCCAACCGGATACCACCACAAGTTACAACAATTATTAATTTATTACTTTCTTTTTTACTTACTAATAAAATAATAATCGTCATGAGGGAAGTCGAGGCTCCATTAGTGGCAAGACCTAAAGCCATCCTCCCACCACCATGGGAGGAATGGAAAAGTCGAGGCGCCATTAGTGGCAAGCCCTAATCTTGGTAATCAGGGCCATTAGTGTCTTGATCAGTAATTAGCAAGACGTCAAGAGTGACGAAAGCAAAAACCCGGCACTCGAGTCAAAATGGCGAATCATGAAAATACTATTTTTTGAAAATTTCCCCCCTTTTCCCCCTCTTTTCTTTCTAACATTTTCCTAAACCAGGATGACATGGTTCATTCACCCAACCATGCAGAGGCAATCTAAGTCCGCATATGGAAAACCAAGTTAGCATTGGACGATACAAACGACATAAGCACACGGTGGCTTGGCGCACAGCATCCCACCCCCGCTAACAAACTTTACGAAGGCAGGTTATACCACCAGTAGTTACGAGGCTTCCTTTTGCCAAAGCAGATTACCCCCCTGTGCGCCAAAATAAAAAAAACCCTGTGCTTATGTCGTTTGCCAAAGCAGATTACCCCCCTGACCGGCACAGGCCCTTGTTTGGCTGCCCCCACCAGCCATTTCGCTCCTGTAGGCCGACCCCTACAAGTTGCAGCACGTGCATGGCCTCGTCGTCGGAGAATAATGGCTGGGCAAAGTACTGGTGGTTTAATTGCAGGGTGCAATTAGAGCGTGTTGGGGTTAACGGGGTACAGGGAGGAGCAGGAGGAGATGGGTTTGACGAATACAAACCCCTCTCCTCCTCCTCCCTCTACCCCGTTACCCCC